CACATTTGAGCAGCATTAGTAAACTGTGTAAATATAAAGAAATGCCAAATCACATGCAGGTTTTTTCAGACCGAAGACCATAATCGTGTAATAATTTATTTTATTACATGAAACGTCCAATTTTTCTTTCAGCAATGTTTTTTCAAGTTTTTCAAGAATTTCGTGATACTAAACGTTTTATTAGTTGTCATAGTAAGTGATTTTAAAAGTAGGATGGCTCCCTTTTTATAACATGACTGAAAATTTTACTTGAATTCATAGTTTATTCTTATTTGGAACCTAATTGTTTTATAATTACTATTATTATTATTATTTCTGTTGTTTCTAGAAGTAGTAATTTTGATAATAGTCAATAGAAAAAAAATATAACCACACACACATTGTTTGCCCACAGAATAATTACAAATTATTAAATCCCCGCACGAACCTCTACCTCCGCCAGCAGGACCTCAATTTCAGACTCCGTAAAGTTTTTTTTTCTTTGCGCTCGTGCTTGTGCTCTTTGCTTGTGCTTCACGAACCTCTACCTCCGCCAGCCAGCAGGCAATTTCAGACTCCGTAAAGTTTTTTTTTCTTTGTGCTCGTGCTTGTGCTCTTTGCTTGTGCTTCAAGCATAGAAATTCGGATATTGGCGTGTGCTCTTTTATATGGTAATGATATTAATTAGGGGGCGTTTACAAGGCGGAGATCTGACACCAGTCAGCTGCGCACAATTTCAAGATCATTTGCAATTTATAAATGTCACATCTGGAAGAAAGGCGTACGCACGTGTTTTTGTGCGCACGTTTGTTTTCTCTGAATCGCACTTAGCACATTTGAGAAATGATCTTAGAACAGATTTAGGACGGTTTATATGCAACATTTTATAAATGAGGCCCCTGATTCCCTGTGTAGTAGATGGCAACATGGGTTGAACACTTCTTATTGTGGTGCATTATGGGATTGGGTTTTGGGCACCACTACATACATACATAAACAAGGTTACTGTGACTTTATCTCATAGTTAGCCTTTTTTTTCCTCACAGTTTTGATTTTTTTCTCAGATCTTTCTTTCTTCCTCCATTTATACGTATGATTCTTTCTTTCTCTATTTCTTACACAGCTTATGACTTCATTTAAATTTCCTTGGAAAGCACTGTACCAGCACCAATAGCGCCTGGGTAAACTGGCCTAGAGTTGTTTAGTCAGTGCACTGAAAACCAACTTGGTTAATTCGGCCTCTAGTGTTACCTGATAAATAAATTTTCAGATGCAGAATACAAATATGGCTTATTCTTTTTTGGTTCAAGCAAGTTCATTGCTGTTCTGTGTGTATGTGTCTGCCATTTCAAAAGGTGCCCACTTCGATAACAATGATCAAACAGGCACAGCAGCACCTGAAGCGCCAGAGCAGAGTGTAATTACATCAAGCCCTGTGCTGAGCCATAATGAGCAGCCTGCTGTCCTGCAGCAAGATCCTGCCACGTAACAGAGAACACAGAACAGAGAACAGAGAGAGAAAGAGATAAATTGGTCAAGAAAAACAGCCTGTTCTCTGCTCTACCAGACGCTCATTTGCTCCTCTGTAACTGCAGGCAAAGGCAAAACATGTCAAGTCAGTGTAGACGAGGGGTGCTGAGAAGTCACACATTTCTTCTGGGAATGTAAAACAGCTATGCAGATGGTTATTGAATTGTTTTTGTAGGTTGTTTTTAGCAAATGTGAGCACATAATGGGACTTGAGTAACTTTGTGAAATGTTTACCTATTATATTCAAAGCTGGATTGTCAAAATAACTGTGATGGTAATGGCAACCTCCATAATGACCTTCACTCAAAGTCATCAGCAATATCTCAATTTTACTAGCATTTTCCTTTGTGCTGAATTTAATTGAACAGAAGGCACAGGGTGCAAAAGGGCTGAAAGCCCCTTGGGGTAAAAAGGCCCTTTTGAAAATATTTTCTCTCCAAAACACCAAATCAAAACAAGCACCACCACAACATTTTCCTAAACAACAGTTTGTCGCTATGCTCTGCAAAACATGACTTATGTGGTCACTAAATTTTCCTTTTTAAATTAAATAATAATAATAATAATGTACCTTAAAATTGATGCAATATTATTATTTTTTTAAACATTTATATATACAGAATTAGTGTGTGTGTGTGTGTGTGTGTGTGTGTGTGTTACCTTGAATGTTCATTTAAGAGCATTAACTGTAATTCCTATAGAACATTCTAACTCTGACAAGTTGACACTTATTTTGTACTTTTGATTTTTGTGATTTCACCCCATCCTGCTGCTTTCAAACTGTGTTCCTTTTTTATTATGTGAAAAGTGCTGTTTATAACATTTATATTTTGGCACACAGTATAGGGCATACAATTATACATTTAAAATATTTGTTCTTTGATAAATTAGCCCTGTAGCATATTTATTTATTTATTTATTTAGGTAAATATGCATAAGTATATTATTATTGTTATGAATTGAGTCTTATGGTTTTCATTTTTGTTCAAAAGAATAAAATCATTGGTTTTTCAATAATCAATCAAATATTTTGAAGTGGGACACTAATTCAACACAAGATCCAATCTGCTTAAAAATGCCACTAGAAGTACTATATAGTTGACAGGGGAGGAAGATGGAGGATGCCGATTCTGAAACAAATTGTTTTCCATAAGTGAGAAGAAACGTCCCAGGTTACGTATGTAACCATGGTTCCCCGAGGGAACGAGACGCTGCGTCGGAAATTTGTTTTGAAGCATGTGCAGTGACTGTGTCAGTGACTGTGACAAACACAATCGAGAGTCATTTCCGAAACATGCCTTCAGCATTGTAGCTGTTGAATACACATTGTTTGGTTACTAAAAGCAGGAAAATGTTTTTTGTTCCAATAAAGAATGTTCAAAATGAGCTGTACATGGTTTATCATTTGCTGAAGTTGTTATTTCCCATATTTCTTTGATTATTTTATTCAGAAGTCTTGTCCTATGTTAATTTTGTCTCTATAAGCTACTATTTTATACCATTTATGCCACTCTTTCCCTGGAGGTCCGGATTTTTTAAATATCCTGAACGTGGGAGTAAAAGCCCCCTTCATTGCCTTTATTTTGAAATGATTTTCAGTAAAGCTTCTTTGATCATTTCTTTTCACAGTTGCTTCATCAATCATGTTTTCAATCATCATACACTTTGAAAAACTTTTCCTTTGTACCCTACAGCTCTGTGTGAGATATACAGCAATACTTTATATTAATAATTGTCACGCATTACTCCATTTGTGTTTATGTTTTCATTTGAATGTAATACGCTTTTGAAGTGTCACATCATTTGTTTACATCCCTAGATTTTCTCTGTTTTCTACTTCAAAAGGCACAAAAGACATCAGAACTGAATGTTCCCATCCTGTATTCATCTTGCAATGAACCCACTCCAGCTCAGCCTCTTTGTGCACTTTTTACAAAATCTCTCTGCATTGTTTTAAACATGATGAGAGATGAGATGAGACTGGATAATACAGTCCATATATTCAAAAAGAGTATTGACTGTTCTCTCGCAATATTTCAAACATCTTAAAAACACTCCTAATTAAAACCATGTGCTTGCATGTGTGCTAGGTCACATTGACTTTGCCAAGGTAATCGTTTCCTCTGCTGTTTAGAGTTGTAAATCTCTAAATCAGTGTACCTTAGGAAGGAGAAATATTGAACAAATTGTTTCTGGTATCTACGAATAGGATACTTGATGAATGTGTCAATATAAAGAGTTAATAAGTAATCTTACTGAAATGGACAGTTAGAGTCTTGCTACATGATTTCTAACGGTCTCTGTAATTTTAGGAATATCTGAGAAATACCCATGAGAGAACTTAATAGTTTTTGAGATATCTATTTTGAGATATCAATGTCCTAAACATCCACATACAACGTACTGCAATCCTCCATTACGTCACACTCACGCTACATGGGTGCTCATTATCGTGTTTTGAGAGATAATGGTTATTGACATGAAGCTTTAAAAAAAAAACTTTCAAGATTCTGCATTCAGTAAGGAGATATAGAGAGTAACCAAATGCATTTCTTAATTTAAATACTAAAAAAAGTACTTAACGGTTTTAAGAAACTATTTTATTTATTTACTTACTTTACAATTAAATATTTTCTGAAGAAATATGAATGGTTGACTACCCAGTTTTGTTTTAGGTTTTGAATAGTATCATAAATTACTCTTTTTGTTCTCGCTATATATGTATGTATATATATATATATATATACACAATGGGTATAAAAAATCTTTAGAATGAAATATATCTTCATATATATATGAAGAGTTCAGATGCAAAAGTCTCTAAGTGCTGTCTGAAATTTTCTTCTAAAATTAGCATTTTTCTATAATAACTGAATTTTCATGTTCAGTTATTTCACTTTAATGGCAATGAAAAGAACCTACTCATTGTCATTAAAGTGAAATTACTGAACCTATAGGAGCCTGATAAAAATGCTAATGTTAGAAGAAAATTTCAAATGGCACTTAGAGGCTTTTGCATCTAAACTTATAAATTTGTATAAAAAAATCTTAAGAATAAATCTTCAATTGCATGTTGTTTTAAAAAGTAAAATTAGCAGTTGGATCTACTAGTATGAGACCATTTGAATTTTATGATGTCATTTTATTCATAAATATGACAAGAATAAATATGGAACCAGTAAACAAATATGTAAACAACTCACATTTGGCCATTTATTCTAACAGGAGCATTTGTGGTTTGATTTGTAATGTCTGCCTTAAAGCCAAGACACGATTTCACTGTGGAACACATCGTAAATCATTGGCAGTGACAGGTAATACATTGCACGTGCACATTTATCACATTCACTTGTCATTTTGTGGATTATGAAGAGTGGCCAATACAAAAAGAAAATGCTGGAAATTTCACATTTTAAGTAGAAAGAACATACATCACCTCTGAGTAAGAGGTGATAAGCTTGAGTTAACTCTGTTTAACTCGGAGTTAACTCTCTTAACTCTGAGTTAAGAGAGCTTATACATAAACATACTGTATATAAATATACGGATTACATAACATTACAAGAGTAAAGTGAATACAGTTGGTTATTAGTTATGTTAATGGTCCTATTCTCCTCAGAGCTCAAATAAAATCCTAAGCAAAAATCTGTTTCTATCTGTAACAGTCATTTAGTTGTAAACTACATCACAGGTGTATTGTTTTCCCAAAGCCAATTCAATGGAATTTCAAGGTTGAAGAGTAGATGCAGGTTATTTCTGTTGATGGTAAAAACATTGCCTGCACAAAACCCGTTCAGAACATGACCGTCATGCTCAAGCAGTGATTAACTACACACTTTTTTAATGCTACTGCAAAGCTAAAAGTGTTACAATCACAATGACTGAACCATCTAATGAACTCCTCCTTTTTACTCATAAACGTGAACAAGCTTTACAAAGCCAAATGAGTGGAAGTCACATTATGGCAAAGTTCCTCATATTCTTTGTTCATCTAGGAGGAGATGGTTTGGTTAGGCATAACTAGGCAAGCACTGACTGTGGTCAGAAACGTGACATTTTCCTTTCTTCTCTAAACTACAGGGTTTGTTGTCCAACGGTGGTTGAGACAGTTCCAGGAACAGTTTGGATTTCAGGAAGCGCCTGTACGAGTCCTTTTCCATGAGCGTGAAGATTTTACTCTGAGCCTCCTCAAAACAGGATGCGTCACACCTTTCCAGATTCTTTCTAGTGAGTTCTCTAGTGGCCGAATCCAAATTCACCTAAAAAAATAATAATAATGGAGATTTATGAGTACATTTTAGATGTGATAAGGGAATAGATATACTCCAGTCAAGCAGCGCTCTCACCTCGCTAGGGGAATCGGCTTCAACGTATCGCTCAAATATCTTTCTAGCTTTCACATTCATCTTGTCCACTGATGTCTGCGTGAAATCCTCACAGGCTTCCCAGAATTCAATGTTCTCTTGACTATACTCAGACTGTAAAAAGGAAGTGAAAGCCTTCCGACCATCTGAAAGGAAAAAATTTCAGTGAGACTCAATATACTGAAAAAATTATAAATTTCATAATATAATATAATATAATATAATATAATAATGTCCGATTTACTATCAGAAACAGCGTCATTTTAGTATCATCGAGATACTACTATAGTTTTTTTATTTAATTTTTATATATTCTGCTTTCAATGTTCATTTTAGTTAAAGTTTTAGTAATTTTGTTGTGTGTTTTTGTCATTTATATTAGGGTGTATTCACACCAGGAAGGTCCGCTAGTTCACTTGCTTTGGTCCGGACCAAATACAATGTTGATTTTTTTGGTTTGGTGCGGTTCGCTTTCACACTGCCTTTTTTGCAAGTGAACCAGAAACTGTAAACAAAACCACACGTGTGCTTAAGGTCATCCATTCAGTGGTTCATCCATTCAACTGTATCAGAGTTTGTTTGGAAGCGGACCGAGACCACCTCTTCAGCTGGGTCTCGGTACGGTTGTTTGGTCCGCACCTGGTGTCTATTTCTTTTTTTATTTCTGTTTTATTTTTTATTATTTTAGTGCATCAAGTTAAACTAAATGAATATGATAAATAGAAACTAGCTGAAATAAAATAAGTTTAAGTTTGTAATATTTTATTTCAGTTAACAGTTATAGTGATTTTTTATTTTTATTTTTTTTGTTTTTGGTGACTATAATAACCCTGGTCCGAAGACATTCAAATCTCCATTTGAACTCATTATTACTAGGGAGCGGATGCTGAGGAGGTTTTGGAATGAAGAGGCCAGGACTTTGAGTCTGGGGGGATTCTCTAAAGACTGTCCTAGTGGTTGATGACCCCTGTAGCCCACCAGAGCAGAACACTCAAGCTCTTCAGGGGCCACCAGTGCAGTCTGCGGACACGTAGCACACACTCTGGGGCATGTGAAAAATATGGTCTTGGCCTATCAGGCTGACAGAAACATAGTCTCCTTTAACAGAGACGTTAATGAGGCCAAGGGCTCTTTGACAGCAAATACAAGGCCGAATAAACAAGGGTCAGTGCAGAAGTCTCAGGCTTTCTCATTAAATCATTACTATGCTGCAGCCTGCTCATCATTAACACATGCTGGTTTCTAAGATTTGATCAGGATGGTTGATTTATTTTATTTTATTTTTTGCATAACTAAATAATCTTGACATTTACCTTCATTTTTGATCAGGTTGTTAAATGATGTTTTCCATTTCTCAATTTCAGCAAGAGGGACTCTAGAATCAGACGAAATAATTAATAAACAAAATATATAAATGCTACTGTAAATGTAAATAATATCAGATTAGCTTCAATAATGTTTAAATACTGTATTATCAAAATATGAAATATCTATAATATAAACATTTTTATTAACATAAATTATAAAATATTATTAAGTATAATATAATTGATATGATATGATATGATATGATATGATATGATATGATATGATAAAGTAAGCTTTGTTGGTCCAACCTTACCTGTTTACCACAGTGACCTTCGCTTTCTCCTTCTCTTTCTTCTTCTCCTTCTCCTTCAGAGACTTCTGCTCTTGAGGTGGATCTGGCTTTTGAAGCAGGAAGCCAATCTTATGCTTTATGTCTTTGGCGCTGTTGGAGAAAACATATAATTAATGAATATTTTGGCTTTAGAGAATCAGTTATGTAAACAATTATGAAAAACAAAAGCTGGTTTAGAGGAACTTATATTTTCTGTTAAATATCTCTCAAACGAAATATATCACAGGCATAAAAAAACACCTTTTTCCATTACTCAAAGCAAATTGTAATATCTTGATACCCAAACAACTGCTTTGCTTTGCTTTGCTCTTAGTCTACTTCAGAGTATACGGAGTATGAAAACATATATCATCTTGAACGTTGAACTAAAAATAAGAATATCACCAATAATTTCCAATAAGGTAGTTCATACCTTTTCAAGCATGTTGCTGGGAGGGCAGCGAGACCTTTACACATGGTGCTGGTGCGTAATACAAATCCAACACTAGAGAAAAGAGTCTTGAGTGTCACAACGCAGGTCCTCACAATCTCAATGCAGTCTTCTCCTACAACGGTGCTTTTATACAGCCCCATCCCTCACAACACAACAGCTAGCCAATCACAGCAGAGGCACAAACAAAGCAGACGCAAAACCAAGGTAATTTCCCAAGTTTATTAAAGGAAAGAAGTTTGTTGTACCTAGATCAATTACGGATGTATAGTAAACATGTGATGGCGTTTTTGTGGTGTACTGTACTTTTCCTGCACGTTTTGCATGTTTTCATGTGTGCAATACAAAAATAATAATAATAATAATATAATAAAATAAAATAAATAATATGATTTCTTGCATCCGGAAGCCAAAATTCATAATAAAATTTGAAATTGAAAACTGAAAAAAAAATTGAAACTGTAGTAGAATTTATAGTGGTTAATTGTAATTTATGTAGCTATAAATGTAAATGTATATATTTTTATTTTACCCATGTAGTGTGCATTCTTTAGACTTGTTACACAAGCCTGAATATATATTTCCATCCTATTGGTATAAAAATCACTTTAAATGTTTCGTTTTTCTTTTTCAATGCAAATCATTTAATCTGCAAATGTCATGTTTTTCATGTCTGATTGACAACAAACTGACTCTGAACAAACAATAACAGTCCAAAATTTATTTGAACTCTTTGACTGACCTCCATGACACCATGCAGCCCCTAAGGTTAGTAACTGAAGTAACATTCTCTAAGTTGTCAAATATTTGTGGTCTCCATGCCCAGATTAATTTGTCCGTACCCCCTAATGCCCTGACGAAAGGAATCTGTGGCAAGAAATAAATATTGCACATTAGGACTGCTACAAATGAAAATAAAGCTCTGCTCAAAGCAACTGAACATTTTGTTCTGTCCAACTAATAAATCTCAATAAAACCTTAAAGAAATACTTCCTTCATGTCAAGACCCTTTGTTATTTTTGAACTGATCAACTAAATCAAGACACAAATCTCCTCAATGGAAAAAAAGTATTTACTACAGTCTAAAAGGAAAAGGCAAAAGGCCAAATTCTGTAATGGTTTGGAGACAGGAACAGACTCCTAATCCCCGGCTGTAATGTAATAGCTGTCATTAGCCTGATTTACATATCAGATCATGTCAGGTCTACAGTATATTTAACAGAGTGCAAGATCATAAATTATCCTCTCGCAAAGGAAATGCACTTCATGTTGAATTTATGGGAGCATCGAAATCCTGCTAGCAATGATTTCATGAAAGAAAGACTGCAATGTAGTAATATTAGTAACATTTCACAATTACATTTGGAATTAGTTGAACACTGCATATTATAAAACACATCTTTATGAAAAATGTAGAAAGATCACAATAAACTCCACCAGTTTGCATCATTTCATCTCACTCCTCACATACTAACTTCATCCACAAAACATGTCTATAAACATCTCTTCTCACCCTATCCATTTCAATCTGTTGACACATCCATGCAAAATATTGAACCAATCCTATCAATAGTTCTGGTTAGTCAGATGACTGGAGAGATCTAAATACAACTTCTGAAAAAAATTTAAAAAATGAAGCAGTAAGTCTGTCAGTTCCAGTTCATTCAACTGCACCAGCTATAGGCCATATAAGGTCTGTATGAATGAACTATGGTTTAATCCAGGCCAAAGTGAGAATGTGATAACTAAGCTCATATGAGGTCATATTAAGGGGAAAGTCACCTCCACCTTGTATTAGCCCACATTTTTCTTCTTATCATAAGTTACCTGGTCCCAGATGTGAGGCTGTGACTCAAAGCATGTGCGTCTTTCAGCTCCATTAAGCTTTAACTAGATATTGGAAACTTCAGAGGTTTTTTGCCGATTACACATTCAGTGCAGACTCCTGCAGATAAATGATTACTAGATTGCTAGATTAATCTGTAAACAAAAACAGAAACAATCTGACCACAAAATAAGTAAAATACTACTACTACCACTAAATAATAAACTTTATTTATTTGTTTGTTTGTTTTAACCCTTTATCACTTTAAAATGTTATTTTGGGAAATTGTATTTATAACAATATTGACAATATTAAACAATTATTATAATGATATAAAATAATTCTAATAATAATTCAACAACAAAACAAAACAACAATAATAAAACAATATAACTGCATGTATATTATTATTATTATTATTAGTAGTAGTAGTAGTAGTAGCATTCACACACAGTTATATTGTTTATTCAGTTCAAAGCATATTACCATTAGGTGGAGTTTTGACGTCTCCCTCGTATACCTGCCAAAAAATCAGACTGAATTGCTGTTTTTGATTAGCATGTTGGAAAATATCTAATGTTGCATACCTTTGACTATGTCTTGAGGCTGCATGTGTAGATGTTTAAAATCTGGACATGTGCCTAGTACAGAATGTGCAAAAGCAATACTACAAAATAGGGCAATTTCTGTAAATTGTCATCTGATGGATACGTTTATGCCTCAAAGTGGAAGTACAGGTCGATTACATGCAGACTTTTCTAAGATTGTAGCCCTGACTTCTATTGATTTTGTTCTCTGGCAATTAATTTGTCCAGGTCGGACTAGATTGTCATTTTAATATTCCAGGTTCAATAGAAACTCAATCAACAGTCGTTTTGGCATACACCAATGCTGATAAAAAACAAATAAGGTGAATGGTCAAAGGGGAAAACAAGTGAATGGGACAGTTTTAGGATTAATAAAAAGCAGAAATGTGACGATTAGAATTTTTTAAAAAGCACTTATTAATCTGTATGTTAAAATGTGTGTATTACTTAAGCTGTCAAATCAGTGTTGTGACAGTCATTTTAGGGTTTATGATGCCTTCTTGTCAAATTGGATATGAATTGGATTTTATACAGAAAAAGTTAGCAAATTATTTTTTTCTCACACTAAAATAGAGTCAACGTGCTTTTTTGTGGCTATACTTTTGAAACATTGAGTATTTTGATGTTTACAAATTGTCCCTATTCACTTCCATTGTAACAGCCTCATGTAACCGAGACTTTCGTTTTTTTCAAGAATTTTTTTTAATCTAATCAAGATAACCAATACTATGCCACAAGTGCTGGCAACTGACCTTAACACGTACTGAACCCAGAAAATTCATTTAAACAGGGAACCACTGAACACTTATTGTGTGCAGTGTTTACACTCAATTTGAAGTGCTGTAAGTTCAGTTCATAGCAAGTGGTTTGGCCGGGATTCAATCCGTGGCTCATTTCACATGAAGGAACTAGAATCCTTCAAGCTCGATATGTTATACATCACCTCATAACCCTTCTGAGTTTATGCTTCAGTTGATGCAGAACGGGCATATTGATCAAAGAACCAGACTCCAGATGAGAAACAAGCCTGTGGGGTGAGATCACCCTCTTGGCTCCACAGTGTTTAATGTCGCTCTATATCTCAGTCTATCAAATCATGGGTAAAAAAAACAGAATGGTTCACCTCGGAGTAATGTCATATCAGATCAATTCCAGCTGCTACGTTTACACAGGAAATTGACTCATGGTGGCCTTAGATTGTCCAGGTCATTTTTCACCATAAAACATACATAAAAAGAGGAAACAGGATTGTGGCTCATCAGGGTCAATGAGGCAAACCACAAAAAAATGTTTTGTTGGTACAGTAACAAAATAAAAGAAGTAGAATTGTTCACTTGCTCCATTTCAAAACATAGTGAACTACCCTTGGATGCTTTAGAGGGTTATGAAGACATCCAGAAATTTAGCCATCTTATTTAAGTCGCAATCGAACATAACTAATTTGAAAAAAATTGCAACATATTGTGCGATAAGATTCCAGAGACAAGCAATTTGTCTGTGCACATGAGACGTGACTCGACTGCAAGACTTGACACAATCAATCAAATACCCCAGCCAATCAGAAGAGTTAGTGGGCGGGCTCTTTCTGCAAACATACTGCACTCACAATGAAATGGATAAGAACATTTGAACATTATTACAAATACTTTGTGAGTGAGTGAATCTTTATCATAGAATAGACTTTGTTGTTCACATAGAGTTCACTTCATGTTCACATGAAGTGAACACTTCATTCATGTTCACTTTCAACATGAAATGAAGCATCTAATCAATACTTGAGATTATCGCTGTCTTAGTTTGTATGCTGTTGTTCCAGTCGTGACATCCCAGAATTAGAAACTGTTTCTGAAATAGAATCCTCTGACGCTTATCACATATCATGGCTGATTAGGCCAAAAACGAATTAACATGTTTTTTTATTTGTGCATTAGGGCTGGTTAGGACAAGCTAGCATCACATGGACAGCATTATGTACTGTAGAAGGCATTGTGATAACAGTGGAAAAAAATACATTTAAATTGGCAGATATCATTTTGTGTAGACTGAACAATATAAATAAAACAGCTCTGTAAAATTTCACTTAAACGTGAAATTAGTTTTCGTGTGGAATAATATGCGTTTATCCTTACAATGTCATGTCACTAGCTTAGCAACATGCTAACAACAATGTTTCTGCCTATGTAGAGTGTTCTAGATTGTTACTTCCATGATGATGCCTTAAAGGTGCAGTCACAATTATCATTGTACATAAATTTTCATGGGCAAAATTGAGTCGTTTCAGTAAGTTGAACATTCCTCCACAGAGATTTTGCAACTTGTAGCGAACGATTTGAAAGTGACTTCTGTGTAAGCTATGCTTCATAGTTACATTCAATAGACAATGGATCTTTTTGCCCACAAAATTTTGCTAAAATTTTGGTAATGTTACTGCACTTTTAGAAGGCACCTGCCTATGTATGAAGCTATCCTTCTAGCTTTTTAGATAGATCTTAACAGTGCAACACACTGTGTTCCCGCCTTCACTTGAATCACATCTCCCTTTTTTACGCTAGTCCATCAGCACTGCTTTTACGCACTACCTTCAGTACACATTTCTGCTTGAATGAGAGACAGGTGCTATTCGGGAGTTTAGTCTTATCGGCCCCAGATAAACTGGGAGAGAGAAAAACACAGCGCTCAACACTCAAT